GTTTGTTTTTGACCTTATTTTTCTACTTGACTCTTAATAATCTGTTGTACATATGTGGTCAATTTTTAAAGTATATAAATAAGAAATCTTTAATCTACATTATTTGGGTAGAAGTTTTAATAGATCATAGCCTCATTATGACCAAAGTAAATGATCATTTGTGCTTGTAAATTATGGAGGAAAAAAACCTAGTTACTGAAATAGTTGTGCCACTTCATGTTTACATTCAGAAGGAATCTGAGAGTTTGACAGATTTTTATCTAAGCTAACATCATTGCTACTTCTCCCTTTATGACCCATGAATTACAGGTGGCATATTAAAACAGAGCAGAGGCTTGCCTCTTCCTAAAGTTAGAGGGACCTTTCATCATGGTTGAATCAGGACAGTTCCTATTTATGCCTTTGTCCTGGGGTTCAGGAAGTTAGTGCCCCTTTCACTCTTTTTCTTTTTTTTTTTTTTTTAAAGATTTTATTTATTTGACAGAGAGAGACACAGCGAGAGAGGGAACACAAGCAGGGGGAGTGGGAGAGGGAGAAGCAGGCTTCCCGCGGAGCAGGGAGCCCGATGCGGGGCTCGATCCCAGGACCCTGGGATCATGACCTGAGCCGAAGGCAGACGCTTAACGACTGAGCCACCCAGGCGCCCCTCCCCTTTCACTCTTAAAAGTGTCCTGGCTTGAGAATTTATAGATGATCCTACCAAGGCACTCAACCCATTCCAGTGAAGCATAGGTGACATTAACTATTCCAAACAGTCTTATGGACATTATAACTCTAAAGCAGGTGATTGTTCTTGACCTATACAGCCCTCACTTTTAGCTTTGGGAAGAACCCAAAGTAGTATTTTGTCTGTTTTAAAAATATCTAACACACAAGAAAGTGATTTCTGGCTGCTAGTACTTGAGAGGATTGCTTTGAATATAGCACTTTGGTCTAGTTCTCCTTTGTAAAGCAGATAACATGACAAAGTTTAAGCTACAACACCACAAATTAATATAGCTGAACTCCTTGTTTGAAACTACAGAGCTACGCTAAATAAATAAAAATTGATCAGTTACAAGCGTTTTCCTGTCTTACAATTGGTATATATTCCTATTTTGAGCATCTAAAAATAGGATGGAAAAGGATAGTTAATATGGGGAACATAATGTTCCAGACTTGATTAGATATTCCTAATTCAGCTGAGAGATCCAAAAAAATTTGGTCTCTCTAATGATAGATTCAAAGTAGAAGAACGCTTTCATCTCAGTGAGAAACCAGATAGGAGGATTTTGAAATTCAGCAAAAGCTGTATTTGTGCAAGTATTATCTAAGTATGATCTCTCACAGGGAAAAGGAAAAGGACAGCACCACGTGCAAACAATTAGCTGGGTCAGGAGTCAGCAAAATTTTTTCTGTAAAGGTTTATCTAGTAAATAGTTTAAGCTTTGTGGGCTATACCATTTCTGTCTCAACAGCTCGGATCAGCTCTGTGATGAAAAAGAAGCCATAAACCATGGGTTATGTTCCAATAAAACTTTATGGACAATGAAACTTAAATTTTGTAAAATTTCCACATATCACAAGGTAGTATTCTTTCGACTTTTGTTCCAATTACTTAGAGCTATAAAAACTATCCTTGCCTCACAGCCATACAAAAAACACCTCTAAGCTAGGTCATAAAACAAGCAAAAGCAGAAATTCTGTGTGAGATTTCTAAGAGAAAAGGTGGGACAGGTCTCCAAGGAAATAAGAGAAACTGGTAAGAATTGTATCTAAAAGTCAGCACAATAACCAACCTGTTAACCCACTAGGATCAATTAATTGTAGTAGTGTCTGAGAGGTTCCCAGAAAGTAGAACTTTTTCTTAAAGTTAGTACACCGACAGCCTAAGCAAACAACTTGCAGCAGCATTGAGTTATTGACGTGCACCTCCTTGGTTCTGGCACCAATTCCAGTGTGTGTGTGATCCCCATACCACCAAGGAATTCTTTCAGTTCTGACACTACTTGGAAATATTATGTGATCCCACAGGTTAAGGGTTCGACCCCAGAAGACTCCTCCTCCCTCCAAACTTCAGATACCAAATACAAATCCAGCTATAGATTGGATGTTCCGACTTCCTTGATTAATCTGCTAGAGCAGCTCACAGAACTCAGACATTTTACAGACTAGATTACCAGTTTATTATGAAAGAATATAACTCAGGAACAGCAAGATGGAAGAAATGGTAAGGCAAGGTATGGGGAAGGGGCAAGGAGCTTCCATGCTCTCTGGGCATACCACTCTTGCCCCATCTCCTTGTGTTCACCATCCCAGAAGCTCTCTGAACCCTGTCCTTTTAGGATTTTATGGAGGCTTGATTACATAGCATATAAATTAAATCATTGGCCATTGGTGACTGAACCCTATCTCCAGTTCCTCTCCCCTGGGAGATAAGGAAGGAGGAAAGTTCCAACCCTTTAATCATTTGGTTGTTTCTCCCTGGCAACCAGCCCCCATCCTTAGGTTACCTAGGAGTTTTCCAAGTCACCGCATTAACATAAGCTCAAAAGACACCTTTATCACACTAACAGGAAATTCCAAGGAATTCCTGTGCCCAGAATAAGGATAAAGACCAGATGTATATTTCTTATACATTACAATGTCACAGTCTCAGTGGTTGGAATACATTTAAAACATTAAATAATTAGACAGAGCAGAAATTATGCTCACAGAAAAAGCAAAACTAACGGAATAATATATAAACAATATTGCAGAAAAATACTTTCCCATTTGTTTTTAGTTCTAGGATATTTCCTTTATAATACAAAGATTTAACTTAAACATGAAAGGTTCCTTATGAAGCCAGTATTTTCCAGGTCAGTATGGACAAGAAGTAACTTATTCTGGTTTGGGGCAAAAGATTTATCAAAAATTCTGAGTAAAAGCAACTTGTAAACAAAATAACTTTTTTAAGATTTGAAAATATGAAAAGTAGAAAATATTCAAAGAATTCACAACTTGTTCAGCAATATTTCATGAACACAGAGGCTGGGTATGGTGGTACCATCAATCCACCACATGAAACATGAACACAAATCCACCAACAGAGAGCTTTCAAGCACCAAGAAAATTTGTTGCTCACAGCTTCTAGAAGTAAAGATCCATCTGTGGGCTAAAGTTTACTGTGATTTTAAAAGTTATTAACCACCTTACAAATTAGGTCATCTGCTTTCCTCTCTGCTGTTTTACAGTGCAGCAAATAAGAGAAACGGATGTGACTGATGAACAGAAGTGATGGCCAAAAAAGGAGAGGAAACCACAGAACTTTCATTAGAGGCAGGCATATTACTATGCACCTGTGTCATCAAGAATAGTTCTCTTTACTGAGAGAAAATTAATCAGAATCCTTTTAGCATTATATTAAGAAACAGGCCACAAACTACAAAAGGAGTTTCCTTTAATCTTGATTGGTCATGTTTGCACAGTAAATGTCAGTTGTTTGGTGTTCTTATAATTCATGACGTAGTGAAGGTACACGGGAATTAGTGTTAGAAACAGGATAAAACAAAGAAAAAACCCTCATTATAATAATGATGGAAAAACTAAAGCACAGGTAAATGAAATGAAATCAGTCCCTGGTCATTGATAAATGGAGAAGTTTTAACTCCAAATGCTATTTCCAAAATAGGTTTGCTATTGAAGAAAAAAAAAATAAGAATTCATCCATGGAAGATACATACCAGTTATCAAATATGCCAAATAAAGTAACCCTAGGCTAAAAACTTTTATGAGAGGGATCTACTTTACACTTCAATGTTTTACTCTCATTTTGCTTGTCCTATGTTCAAATTACCATACTGTAATCATACTGATATCTTACACCACAAAGTAAATTTACTACCACTATCATCTATATACTACAAACCCAAATTTGTAATCAGGAAAAGGCAGTCTGTAACATGATTTTTGAATTGCTGGCCCTGGGCAAAATAGTGAACTAGGAACAAGTATGTTTTGGAAATCTACCTACCTCCACCATACCTCATGACCCCTTGATAAACATCTTCCTCTTCCCAGATGCTTATCCTTTGCCCAAAATTAGAGGAATACAGAGAAAAGATAGTGAGAAAGGCATAAAATGATTAGGCTGACCCAGAACATAGCTCTTCTATTCTTTTTACTATGTTAATTCCAGAATCAGAAGCTAACATTTGTAGTATCTACAATATATAAACCAATGCACTAAGCCTTGGGCATGTTCTGTCATTTAATTTTCACCACCAATTAGCAGAATAGGTTATTCCCTCCTCCCCTTTTACTGATATGAAATAAAAGCTAGGTGATTTCTCAACGTTATACAAGTGTATTCCCCTTTCATGAGCCATAGCTGTACTGCTCAAATGCCCTCAGCATAGTATCATACTAGTGAAGAAGGTCTGTGAAAATGTGCCACCTTTATGTCCTTGTCCCACTCCTGCAACAGAATGGATATTGACTAAAAATATGAGTGCATGTTATCACCTTCAATATTTTCAATTTTTGAGTATTTGTATCAATAGGGAGGCTTTATCTTGCCAAGTTAAGACTTAGCACGCTAAAAATCTGATTCAGACTATAAGATATTAAGGTGCTTCTTATATGATATTTGCCATTTTAATCACTTTAGGTCTAGTTTAAATTTACCCTCAATTTGTAATGAGTGTATCTCTAGTTAAAGAAAAAAGTTGGGTGAGTTTTACAGGTTTAACGATCTTTACAATACTTTCTCCACATTGCCCAATGGGCCTAGATATTTAACAGGTAGCTTCTTAAACTTTATTCATAAGACTGAAGTACAAAATAGAAACTCGGTCTCTTTATAGTGCCTGCTAATCTAATTTTCTCCACTTTTCTATTGCAATTCTAGAATTACATTACGAAATAAAGTCAGTTTTTATATCATAGAAACCCACATAGTTTTTCCCACCCCAGTAAAGTTAAGGTACAACTTTTGTTCCTTCAAATATTTATTGAATACCAAGTGTATATATTAGGTGTCAAGGATACAAAGGGATTAAAAAAGAAAAAACTTGTAACTTCTAGTTCATGGTTTAGGTAAAGCCCAACGTGTACTTAACTAATGTGTACATTAAATGATATGAACAAAGGGACACAAGAAGCAGAGCGAAGAAATGGTTCTACACCAGCTTTGGGGTGAGGGGACAGTTGGAACAGATGAACTCAGTAAAAGACACAGAAGAGAAGATGTTTAACTAGAGTTTTGAAAAAAGATTTCATGGTATTATATTCCAAGCAGAGATTTCCCCAGCAAAAGCAAAGAATTTTAAAAGTACACAAAGGAAATGGCAAGTCCTGGCTCCTGGTAAAGCTGAAAATTGGGCACATTAATGGAAGACTGGTGGATGAAGCTGGAAAGGAAGGGCCATATCATGAAGGCTTTTTGGTGTGATACTGAGATTTGGCTTCTAGACTTTAGGAAAGGAGCCACGGAATATTTCTAAGCAAAAGAGTAACAATCATATCTATCTTAGATTAATCTGGTAGTAACAAAGAATGGATTGGAATGGGGGTAGAGGCAGAGGACTGCAGGCAGCCTGGAACATTTTAGGCTATTTTAAGAGTCCAGGTAAGATGAACATCTACTATAACAAGAAAGTAGACAAATTATGAACATTTCCAGGGTCAACTCAAGAAAATCTCATGACACATTGTATATAGTTAGAAGAAAAGAGAAATCAGGTAACTGCAATGACTAGGTAGAGACATAGTGATGCCGATACCCAAATTAGGAGGGAAAGGAAGAGCTAATGCTTGGGGGCAAGGGAGAAGAGAAGGATTTAATTCTGATTACACAGATCCTTAGAGCTGAAGTGAGAAATCAAGGCTAACTGAAGTCATGAGGTCACGAAGATAATTCGGGGACAAAGTGTAGAGACCTAAAGAACCTGAGATTGCTTTAAATAGTGGTGGCTAAGGCAAAAGAAGACATCCAAAGAAATGGAAAAGCAAAACAGAACAGATAGGTCATACATAGAGTTTTAGGGAGTAAAAGATTGCTAACAAGTGCCACAAGGATTAAACAGAAGTATTAAGGGGTGCCTGGGTGGCTCAGTCATTAAGTGTCTGCCTTCGGCTCAAGTCATAATCCCAGGGTCCTGGGATCAAGCCCCGCATTGGGCTCCCTGCTCAGCGGGAAGCCTGCTTCTCCCTCTCCCACTCCCCCAGCTTGTGTTCCCTCTCTCGCTGTGACACTCTGTCAAATAAACAGAAGTATGAAATGAAGCCAATGAATTTGGCAGTCAAAAGGTGACCTTTGAGAGAACCACTTCAGCCGGGTGATTAAATTTGAGGATTAAGACAAAATTATAGTGAAATGAGGAAGTGAAGGCAGACAGAGTTTTCTAAGAACTCAGGAAGAGGTATGGAACAACAGCATAAACAAAAGCCAGACTAAAGTTTCTGTTTTTGTTTTTTTAAAGAAGATAGAAGACTCGAGATTTTTCACATAAACGTCTGGCTCAGTTAAAAACAAAAACAAAATTTCAAAGAAAGAAGAAACTTGGGTAGAGGGAGGATGTAGAACTGCCTGTCCAAATAAAATTTTAAACACCATATTATGCAAAATATTTGCAACTATACTGACTTGTCTCTGAATCTGCATACTTTGTAGTCTTCAGTAGTACCAAGGCAATGAACTTTACAGAAAAGCATACAGACTTAACATTTTAAAAATATAGATGCATAAATTCTGAATTTCAAAATGTGTAGAAGGATCCAGAGTGCTAATATTTTAATAGTGCAGTTCTTGGAAGGCAAATAATAGTAATAAAACATATAAGTAGTATGTTTTAATTTTACTTTTAATTTCTAGTTAACATAAATTCTATTTGCCTACATTTTATTCTCAGCTCATTCACACTCCCTGATTGGGCCTAAAATCCTAGAAGGGAAGATAACCTGAAATGCAAGATGTTATCCCCTCCTTTTTCCCTATCTCCCAGTAGAGATATGACCTAGAACATCTGTAAACGTAAAGAAGAAAAGCCATCTCTGCTTTTAGCCTCTTGTGCTTGACATTCTAAAAAGTGATGGTTTCCATCTGCAATATGCAGTATGTTAAAAAAAAAAGCCAGAGCAGAGATAGAGATTTATACTTCTTCTGAGTTGTCCTTTTAATTATTTTATCTGAGGTACACTGTCAGTGCCAAACATGTCAAACATAACTCTTTCATGAAATAGAAAAGGCATTCTAAAACCAGTAAAATTCTGTTTACATATCAAAGTAGTTACATCAGGTGGAATATTAATAATCAAGAGCTCTTCTATCACTCTGAAGACCTAAAACCCATCATGTCACTTTTTACCAGCTTAAAAGTATCTTGAAAACAATGCACTTTTGTCCTCCCCTCCTGGGACAGAAATAGTCCTGTCTAGAGAGAAGGGAAGTGATTTAGCATGCCATCCCAGCACCCACACTGAACTAGTTTAACAGCCTTGCTTAAAGTAATCCTCAATATTCTAGGTTGGCATGAATCAACTTTTGATAATTTTTAAGAGAAAAAAAAGACTTTCAGATTGGAATCACTTTCAAGATCTTATGGTTTCATTTGAAGACAAAGAAACAAGAACTCTTGAAGATGACGAGACGAAAATAAAATGTCAAATATAAGAAAATAATACAAAACAAAGGTAAAAAGATTACAGTTATCAATTTTAGTATTTATTGAAAGGTGGAAGACAAGGAAAATTCCTCTCACTCTAAAAACAAATCTTGCATCTCTGCTAAATGTAAAATGAATTTTTAGATATTTGCTTTACATGACAATAAACTTGTCCAACAAAATAACTGAATGCAAATTTACCAAAACAGTGCTAATCTATTATTTACAAAAATGATCTCACCTGCCATTATGTATTTGGGGAAAAAAACCGTTTCACACTCAGGAACACTAATGAAATACCTTGAGGACATAACACAAGAAATAAAATTCGTCCTACCCTCTCTGGCCCTTCCCTCCCTAAAGTTATAGAATAGATTGAAAATGAATATATGTGGGAATAAACATAGTATTTCCAATAATCTTACACACACACACACATGATTGAAAATGAATATATGTGGGAATAAACAGTATTTCCAATAATCTTACACACACACACACACCATGAGTGTTGTGCCTGATCAACCTAATCTTTATTTAAGGTCAGCAGCCTTAGGGACAAGGGAGATAATGAATAATGAATATGGCTTTAGTCAAGTTTTCAACTAAATATCACAAATGCTTAATTCTTTTGCTAGCTAACCAGCTAACCTGAGAATGGAAAAGATTCTACTTCTTCAATAGCTAATAGGTATGAACCAAAGTAATTTAAAAAAAAAAAAAAGCACTGTAGCAGACACCACTGAGGTACCTTAGTTTTTTTTAAAGGTCTGTGTATCGATTTAATAATTTACATAATAACTGTTTATATAGCATAAGATCATATAGAAACTACATCTTAAGTGCTTTATCGTTCTGGTCCAAGAAATTGGAAAAATCAACAAAAAAAGTGTGTTCAGGTAAAGAACTGGAATGTAGTAACTAGGAAACCATTAATATAAAGCAATATTGAAATAGAAATTATGTGTGTTTAACAAAGATAATCAGCAAGTTCTTAGATTGCATCCAAAGAGGATTTTAAAAATTATAACCCGTAAGACAAGGGATGTAACATTATTCAAGGTGACAAAGCTGTATCTTGAAATCTTGAGCCCACTGATTTATGTTTCATATATTTATATTGTAAAATGCATACATATATGTATTTTACAAAACGTTATAAATTTTCAAAATATGGAGAAGTTTGAGTATTGGTTATATAAGAAACTCTACCTAAAAGCAACCACTGTGGTTGTTTTAGATATGTCTTTTAGTTAAAAGTTTAAGGCTCAAGATATTTTGGAGGGATACCCTAAAGACATTTTATTACTGTATGATCTCATGTATCTACGTGTATACTACTGGAAAACTAAAATATTGTTAAATATATCACCCTACAATTAAAAAAGAAAACATTTTAACCACTTCAATTAAAAAAGAAAACATTTTAACCACATGCTCTCCTATTTCTCAATACTGGTTTGCTATGAACTTTTATATCCCCAAAAAGTAGATGCAAATGATAAATTTAGCTTAAAAGAGAAGATTAAAGTGGTGAGGAGTAGGCTAAGACGGTAACATATAAAACAAAATCCCTATTTACATTATCATGATTTATACCTTCCTTAACCCATGAAAATTCCTATATTGCAAATATATTGATTTCCTATAAACCACTGAGATTTCCTACAGTATTTGCCTAACCCTTTTAAACTGCGGGCCAGAAATGATGTCACTGCTGCAACTGATTTCAGTGGCTTCTCCCTAACCATAAAGATAAGCAGTTTTATGGGTACCACAAATGAGGCTGGAGCAGAAACAATTTCAACAGCAACACTAAACAAAAGACAGCACAAAGAATCTCAGTTAAAAGTCATCAACCAAAGTATGAGCCCAGAAAAATACCAAAGATAAATAAAATAAATGTGCAATGAGCAGTGTTCCTTACACCAAAGCATACATTAAAGACATTTGTTTGACTTTTAATTGCAGTAGTGGAAGCAGTCTCAAATAGTGCTGAAGCCCATCACTGAAGAGATCTATTTTAATCTTTAGCTAGGCAATCTTTAGCACTGGCAATCCTACCCGAATTTTACTTTCCAGGGCTTTTTTGGGAAAAAGGTAGGGAGAAGGATCCTTAGAAAAATGAGGTAACGCATCTTATTTTGTTAGTTATATCTCTGTATATGGCAGTTGAGTCATGGCCCTTAAGGTTTTGTATTTGTCAGACTTTCCTCCTGTTCTGCGAGAAAAATGTAAAAGAGGATTTTAACTGCTCACAACTAAACATTCTGTAACTAAAGATTTTTACTCAGCTACTATTAAATATAGTACAGGTGCTTATTAGTAAGAACATTTTCTCAACTTTTTCTCATTCCAGACACTCTATATATATAGAGAAGATTTACGTTAGGGCTATGTAATCTGGCCACGTAACTTCATGAGTTAGAAGAGTTCAATACCACTCACAGACCTTGTTTCTCCCAACTTTATAAAACTGCTTCTATTACCTAAACTGCTTTCTGAATGTTGAATATAAATATTTTAAAATGTATTCCAGGGAGTGAGGCTAGGAAGTTTCACATATTCATCTTATTCAGCAATTTAAGAAGTTATGCAAAATATGATATACATATCTATATATATTCCCATACATACACGCATTATATAAATATGCTTTCATAACTGAATCTTGTTTTCAAAAATGCTTACACAGTGTGGGGAATTTAAATATTCACTAGATTCGAATACTTACATTTGCACTCCATTACCACTCTAAATGGATACACCAGCAGAAACGTAATAGACCAAATAAATGACTTAACTGAATTGTCAGTTTGTCTTTTTGCAGACCCAACAGAAAACATTTTATTATTATGAACCTTTATTAAGTGGCTCCCATTTCAGTATAAATCACACTAAAAAGATTTTTTAAAAGCTATTTACACTACAGTGCTGACACATTAAAATGAAAAAAAAATTGGTATAAATAAGCTCTATGGAAAAGCCTTAAATTGTCAAAAAAGAATTCTGGCTCATATTACAAAAAATATATATATATATGTTAATGTCAGCTCTATTCTAAAACCTACAATTCCAAATCAAATGATTCTTTAAAGACTCCTTTTGTTTAAACCTGTAATATTTACAGTGCATCTGGCCCTAAGTGCTTTGATCCTTCACAGTTATGGACAGGCACTGAGGAATGTTACAAAGCTACATAAACTCTATTTTGTAACAGACTTGGGAGCAAGTCCTTGGCTTGCTTTCAGAATTCATGAATCTTTATTACATTATTAACTTTAAAAAAAAAAAAGAATTTTAAATGGTATGTACAAATTTAGCACAAAATGTCATCATCTTTTCTATCTTGATTTGAAGGTGCTGAACTATGTTGCCTTGTATCAACTAGACTTATGAGACTTCCAGGGCACAATTCTTCCTTTAAATCTTTGTTGCTATTTTCAAATTTAGAGTCCATGTCAATCTTAAATTCTGTAAATTGAACATGATCCAATTTTGCTTTAACATTCTTGCCATCCGTATTATTCGGTGCTCTAGTCTTTTCAGGAATATAAACATTCACAGGTTCTTCCTTGATTCTTACAGCTGCAATAGGTTCATGTTTAATCAGCTGTAATTCAGATTTAGAATGAAGTTTGTCTGAAAAATTAGAATCCAAGGAGGTTTTGCTTACAGCACAAATCACATGGTCAGTGTGAGGTCCAAGAACTGATGTTGTGGAATCTGGTGATGTGCCTGTTTCGTGAGTAGCTGTATTCTGAGCAGTCTCCTCCTCTGAGTGATACAACTTGAGCCGAACATGCCATGCTAAACTGCATACTGCTGAAACTGTCTTGAACTGATGAACAACATTCCTTGGAATAAAATAAATGTCATTATCATACAGCTGAATCCTGGCATAGCGGATGCCTTCCCTCCTCAGTTGATTAAGTTTTGCATCATCAACCCACTGGACACACTAAAAAAAAGAAACAGGAATACCATTAAGTCTTTTCTACAATAAAAATTAAACTGAAGACAATAATAGTTTAAGATATACCTGGGACAGTGGAGGTTCATGTAAATCTAACTGCATTCGTTGAACTACTTCTAAGAAATCTTCAGCATGAAAACAAATTACATCTTTGGTTATTCGGGGTTGAGCAGGCCTAAAAAAGAACATGAGATAATGAAGAATCTTCCATTAATGTTTCACTCTGTTAAGTCCTTATTAAATTTAAAGCAAAAATAGTTTGTGGTCAAAACAAAAGTACCTAGAAATAAAGTTAAAATGTAATTAGAAGATCACTCTACATATTTAAACAAAGGGATAAAACCATGAGTTTTGACCTAAACACAAATAAAAACTAACCTCATTTTATTATAGCTATGTATATAACCATATTTTGAAAAATTAAAATAATCTGAATTGGTTAATTATGCAAATCAAAAAACTAAGGGCTTTGTCTTAAAGGTCAATACTTCAACAAATTAAATGCTAAAGATGAAACTTTACTACATAAAAATTAGAGGTAGAGGGGCGCCTGGGTGGCTCAGTCGTTAAGCATCTGCCTTCGGCTCAGGTCATGATCCCAGGGTCCTGGGATCAAGCCCTGCATTGGGCTCCCTGCCCAGTGGGGAGCCTGCTTCTCCCTCTCCCCCTGCCCTTCTTGCTGTCTCTCTCTAAGTGAATAAATAAAATCTTCAAAAAAACAGTGATAAAATCTAAATGTTAGGGCTCCTGGGTGGCTCAGTCGGTTAAGCGTCTGCCTTCAGCTCAGGACATGATCCCAAGGTCCAGGGATCGAGTCCCACATCGGGCTCCCTGCTCAGCAGGGAGCCTGCTTCTCCCTCTCCAGTCAAACCCAAAGAGTAAGACTACATTCTAACAACTGAAAACCTTTGGTGCAATTATACAATTAGGATATCCAAATACAGTGAAAAATGAACCTTACTTTCCTTACAGTAAGGAGAATTACTGAGAAACTTCCCAAGAAAAATTTTAGAAGCCAAAAAAACCTATCATTAAAATAGCAATAGCTCAAAAACAAACACAAAAAGCAGTAGTTAATATATACCACTCTCCACAGTGCACAGCTTTCAACACTCCGACAGCAGCCGTAGTCTGTCGTTCAAAACCTTGTCCTATATGATCTGCATGGGCTCTTGTTCTGTCTTCAAAGAGCATCTCACGGGGCTCACTGGTTCGAGGTAGGTACTGCAGGTTTTTTATCTCATTGGTAGTTCTGTTAAAATAAAATTACATATATATAATATAAAGTGGAGGTGGGAGAGAGAGGCAGGCCTATGTATTAGGGCTTAATTGCCTTCAAACATTTGTATTGATGTACTGAGGCTTAATTGCCATGAAGCATTTAGATCACGTAATTCAGACAGAAGGAAATTTTAAATCACCTGCTCCCAAATCAGGTTCTATTTTTAAAATGAACAAGTACAAACAAAAACATATATAATCCCCTCCTTTTTCTAACATACGCTTCACAAAAGTGGCAGCTGTAGTGTGGATAGACTACTAAATTACAGATGGTGTGGTTTACCCGAAAGTTCCCCTGTCCAGAATCTTTACCTGAGGTTTGTTTGGGTCTTACCTGTAGAACCATGCCCCCACTCAAGTCACATGGCTAACGTAAGATATATATCTGGAACAAACAGGTAACTTTAAAAATGGATTAATATTTATAGAATACCTATTATATACCAGGTCCTATCTAGGCACTACAGCTAGTGAACAAGACAGTAATGAAAATAACAGACAAGTTTCCCCACTTTCATGAGAGTTCATACTCCAGTGAGAGAAAGACCAACAAATAAATAGCAAGAAAACACCAAATGATAACTGCTTCCACAAAACACGCAGGACTTATTGGAGGCAGAAAGAAAACCTTAGCTCTCTCTTGAAGGACAACCACCTGCCACCGGCACTCTCTCAGAGCTACTGCTCACCTAGATATGCACACAGAAGCTGCTACTTAGCCTCACTCAATGCAAAAACCCTCTAATTTTGCTGCAGAAGGGAAAATGAGTGAGAATTCCTTTGGGAGTCATCATCTTATTTATCCCTCTGTAGAGTTTTTCTGTTGCTTTCAGAGACAATTCCAGATTGCCCCCACAATTTTCTCCTCTCATCCTCATCTAAACCCCTAGAGTCAGTCGCTCTTCCTTACTTGTTCTCTAATTTCCCTAGAATCACTCTTTTCTTACTAGTTCTCTAATTTACCTAGAATCACCCTTTCTTACTAGTTCTCTAATTTCCCACTCTCAATCTCTACTACTTACTGCTCTTTGTGCACTCTTGTATTACAGTCGTATTACACACTCGCACACACAGGTGATGCTACAACATACCTTTTTTGCCCTTTGTGATTGATGTTCTATAGGTGTCAGAAAGCTAGATGATGACCTTAATTCCTATGGAAAGCTAACAGACTTTCAAGCCTACAACTTTGGTCCCATTAACACCACTTTTTTTTTTTTTATTTTATTTTATTACGTTATGTTAATCACCATACATTACATCATTAGTTTTTGATGTAGTCATTAACACCACATTCTAATGATTTAAGACTTTATATGAAGCCGGGCACCTGGGTGGCTCAGTCAGTTAGGCGGCTGCCTTCGGCTCAGGTCATGATCCTGGGGTCCTGGGATTGAGCCCCATGCCCGGCTCCCTGCTCAGTGGAGAGCCTGCTCCCTCTCCCTCTGCCTGCCACTCTGCCTACTTCTGCTCTCTATCAAATAAATAAATAAAATCTTAAAAAAAAAAAAAAAGACTTTATATGAAGCCTTTAGCACCGTGCCTTGGGCAGTGTTAGTAGTTGCTCAGACTACAATGTGATGTGAAATCACATTACATGGATGCTAATCCCTGAAGTACATACAAGCAGGTTCCTCAGAGGCCTGGTGAACTCCCTTAAATTACATGTAAAACTCTGTGGATATCTGTACTTGTTCTGGGGAGAGGCTTTCAGATCTCTAAATGATTTATAAATCCTAGTTAAGAACCACTGAGAAATACGCCAATTTTATCATTTACTACCAGCTTATAAATTAACTTGTAAAAATTTCATTCAACAGATATTTATTAAGCAGCAGGCACTCTGTTTATGTGCTAGAGACACATTAAGTAACAAGTACAACATGGGCTCCTGTCCTCATGCAACCTACAGTTTACTCAGTGACCATTTTCCCTGGTTTTTAAGATTAATAATCACTGTAATTAATAATAAAACATCTTTATAGACCTAAAAAAAGGTATCACCCACTCCATTCCCACCAATGTTAATTCTGTGTACATTTTTTCCACACTTTTCTGTGTTCACATAAATATACACTTAACACATGTTTATTTCTTTTCATACAAACAGAATCATACTGGCCATATTACTCTATATTTTGCTCTTTTCAAATGTCCTGAACAATCTTCCTGATCAACACACATAAATAACTCATTTATTTGAACTATTTCACCGTATTTTTTTTTAAGATTTTATTTTTTTAAGAAATCTCTACACCAAACATGGGGTTCGAACTCACAACCCCAAGATCAAGAGTCACATGTTCCACCAACTGAGCTAGCTAGCAGCCCCAAAGGAATGGATACTGGGGTTTTGGGGTTGTCTTTTTTTTAAAGATTTTATTTCGCCATATTCTTAATAGGAATGTACCAAAATGAATTCAACCATTCCACTGTTTATGGGCATTCAGACCATTTTAAACTCTTTCTCTCACTCCAAATAATGATGCAATTAATATTCTTATACATTTACCTTTAGTGCTTTCATTTCTTAGGACAGATTCCCAAAAGTGGTAGCGCTGGATCAAACAGTGTATGCATATATACATGTGTTAAACTTCATGAGCTACTGTTAAATTACTTTTACAGAATGATTATAGCAGCTCATCTTTCTACCAATAATATATAAATGATCCTGTTTCCTCACATACCTATGAGTCTAATATTATTGTTCTACTTTTTTTTGCCAGTGTAATAGGTAAAAAATAGTATCTCATAATTCTTTTAATATAACTGGCTGAGGCCTATTTTTCTACTGGGATATGTTACATTTTTCTTATCAATTTGGGAATGCTCTATGTCTATTAACTTTAGTCTGTCACATGTTACAAAATGTTTTAGTTAAGTGTATCATAGTTCTGAACTTTGTTAACTTTTCTCTAATAGTATTGTCGTTACATATTTTTATATTGCTTAGAAAGGTCTCTCCTAGGTTTAAAAACTTTATTCTTATATTTTAATTTTTTTCTCTATTATGTTCAAATCTCTAACTTACTTCTTTATTATTTTCTTTCAAATGGACTTCAATTATGCCACCCTTACTCATTAAATAAATCTTCCTTTTCCCATCTATCTCATACATTAAGTTCTCAATATACTTTGATCTATTTGGGTACTCTACCCTACTCCAGTGATCTTTTTGAGCTTTATAGTAATTTTTAGTATCTAGTAACACAAGGCCCCCCTCACTTACCTTCTCTTTCACAGTTTTCTTGGCTATTTGTTGACTTTACTTATTCTTCCTTCTAAACTTTTTTTTTTTTTTTAAGATTTTATTTATTTATTTGAGAGACAGAATGAGAGAGAGAGCACATGAGAGGGGGGAGAGTCAGAGGGAGAAGCAGACGCCCTGCTGAGCAGGGAGCCCGATGTGGGACTCGATCCCGGGACTCCAGGATCATGACCTGAGCTGAAGGCAGTCGCTCAACCAACTGAGCCACCCAGGCGCCCCTTCCTTCTAAACTTTAAAATCATTAAATCCAGTGCTGAAAGTGTGAGTTCAACTAAAATGCCAAAAATTTCAAAGGACTATCATTTTTATCCAATCTGGAACATAGTAGGGTTTTTTATTTGTTTCACTATTATTTTATACCCTCCAGAAGATGTTTACGCTTTCTTAGTATGGGTTCTGAATATTTTTTATTAAATTTATTCTAAAAGCTTACAATGTCTTTGTTGTGAAGGACATTTTTTCCATTCCTAATTACAATTTATTGTCATTTGCCCACATTTTTCAAGCCTTATTTATATTTGATCTATTACGAGAAATTTCATTAGCATGTGTAGCCATTTTTGAATTCACATTCCAAGTATGCTCTAAACGTTCCCTTTCTTCTTTCTCCGATTTTCAACACACACACACACACACACTCACCCAATGTACATCTATCCCTGGCAATAAAAATTGGTATTCAACATACCTTTTCCTTTTGAAAGGTGACTTTGGCATATCAGCCACAGGGATCATTTGTTCTCCTGGGCGTACCCACATGATGGGACCATCATCACTGTCTTTTCGACTCTCCAATTTCAGACTAGACAGGGTCCCCCATGGCAGCGTACACTAGAGGCAAACAATTACACAGAAACCAATTATTTTCAAAATGCATCTTCAAGTATACATTACATACTGCCCCCTTGACAAACCTTCATATGTACCTTTAATACTTATACATTTGAAATACAAACCTACATTGAACATATTCCTATGTAGTCATATATTTTCCTTCAAAAGTAGGATTTCAGACATACCAAGAGTAATTATTCTTGGATGGCTCCCTCCTTTTAACCCTGCCAGAAATATGATTCACTATATTCATCATTTGTTATTCTTCCTTCTACCAAATATAATAAGGGTCATATGATGTTAGTAAGTTGGCAAAATAAGCAAGTGTTCTCCATGAGAATCTATAAAAATGAACAATTTGTTTTAAAAAATAGAAATCTCAAAAAAATGGATACCTCTTTGATTCGCTATAATGAAAATTTAACAAAACAAAAAGGGAAACCAAATCAAAATCAAAATTTATTTGTTTAGTAGTTTCTTAAAGAGTTTGCTGGTCTAAAAGCAACTTTTCTTAAAAAAAAAAAAAAGAAATGTCTAAGGGCCATTGTCCATGGAACAGTGAGAATGGTTATTTTAAAAAACCATTCATCCCATCCCCTTTTAAGAAAGGGTAGAACTGTCACATGAAATTTCTCCTAAAAGAATGCATTTAGCTCATTTGTCTTTAAAATTAAAATCTGAAACATAAATATTTAAATAATGGTATTTTAAAAATACCACTCAAAATAAATGCAATCAAATTCCATAGTATTACTAGTTGGGAAAAAGAGAAAAGTAACAAAAGGTTTAAAAGGAATAAAAAAGGAAATGAAAGGGGAATGGATTGGAGTCAAAAAGATAAGTTAGAAAAAGTTAGAAAATGGAACAAGAAGAAGTGAAAAAAGAATAGATCTATAACAGATTACGTGGCAAATATTAGAGACAAATGGATTCTGTCACATTCTGACCTCTGAATTACTGATTAAATAACTACACAGCTCAGAAATTTCTCTCTCAATGGGATAGCCCCAGCAGCCCACAAGAAGAAATATTTTCTAGAATGCACAGATTACTGAAAAAATAAAAAGAATTTGGCTAGAAATCATTTAAAGAATTCAAAGGGGCCTTAAAGCTATGTAGCCTAAATGCAATGTTTTATGGATGCGGAAACTGAAGTCCAGAAAGTTTAAATGGCTTGCCCAACCCAGCGAGGTAGAGCCAAGATTGAAATACAGATGTATGATTTCCCAAGCCAGTTTTCCACAATGCCAAATTGCCATTCTTTTGTCCTAAACATTTAATTTAGTAGGCATCCTTCCTATACTTCTTAAATCCTCTGATACTCAGCTTATAAAAAGTTAATAAACAGATGGAACCTAATTTCCTAAAGTGGCAGCAACAAGCGTTATTTTTTGGTTCACCACTTAGCTCTGCCATTATAATTAATATCTGAGTCACATGCACACACACTATACAAGAATTATATTTCTGAAACAACTATGATTTGGTCACCGACAGCATGTGAGTGACACCCACAATTTAGACTGCTTGATATTGTTTTCTCTTACTTTTAAAAACGGTGAATCTTCCAACATGTCAAGGAATTCAGGGAAGTAATCTCCCACCTCTTCATCAACTGCTCCCACCAAGCTGATCTGTCGCATTGGGCCAGCTCTGTAAGTACCGTGAGAATATGTTCTTTTTACCTGAAGGATATGGATTTAATTAAAGGTTATAAATAAGATAATGCTTGCTATCATTGTGTAACAACAAATTATATTGTCTGAGAATATTAGAACATAATGTGAGGTAAGCAAATCAAAACAAAAAGGCCTTTACAAACAGTAAAAAAATAAAATAAAAAATAAGGCAAAAAAAAAATCCATACCAGAGCAAGCTATTTTACCTTCTCTAGCTATTCCTATACACTGCTTATGAAAACACAGGTAAGATAAACAGTACAATTCTAGATAGCAGACTATAACTTCTCCTCATTATACAGTTTATTATTTGATCTATAAGGCCAATGAAATTTATAGTCAAAAGTTCATATACCTACATTTTCCTAAACGGTTCATATCCTTTTATCAGAATTTCTAAAAGTAGACTGCCTGAAATGTTACATTTAACCATTACCAGTGGTTTGTATGTCTGAAAGGCCGCCAGGAATGATCTTCCCTTCTAGATCATACCATATTAATTAAGATCCAGTTTATATTTCTATGATTAACTCTGAGAAAAACTACTAGAGATTGAGAATCAGGAGTGCTAGGTCCCAATGCTACCTTTACTATCTAGCAGCTATGTGACCTTCAGAAATCACACAAATTCCTGTATTTTAGTTTCCTTAAGTGGAATGATCTACCTCAGACTGCTGAAGGAAATTTAATAATTACGTAAAGCTATAAAGCCACCCGCACAGTGCTAGCAGGGTAGCATTCAAGTATCAACTGAAATAAAACCACCTGCACCTCAAGAATCTTGATACATGGGTAGGGGAGCCTGGGTGGCTCAGTCGTTAAGCGTCTGCCTTCAGCTCAGGTCATGATCCCAGGGTCCTGGGATTGAGCCCTGCATCAGGCTCCTTCCTCAGCGGGAAGCCTGCTTCTCCCCCTGCTTGTGTTCCCTCTCTCGCTGTGTCTCTCTCTCTGTCAAATAAATAAATAAAATCTTTAAAAAAAAAAAAAAAGAATCTTGATACCTGAATTCTGGCAAGCACATTTAAATCCTGCAAAGAAATCTATGCCTTTTCATACCCTAACGTTAGGAAACAAGAATCTTTATAAAGCAAAACAACTTCCTTTCATGGGGCGCCTGGGTGGCTCAGTAGGTTAAGCATCCAACTCTTGATCTTGGCTCAGGTCATGATCTCAGGGACATGAGATCGAACCCAAGTGGGGCTTCATGCTCAGCGGGGAATCTACCTGAGATTCTCTCCCTCTCTCTCTCTGCCCCTTCCCCCTCCACATGTGTGGCATGCACTTCCTCTCTCCAAAATAAACAAACAAATCTTAAAAAATAAAGTACACTGTAATACTTTTACTTATATACCATTTAACCCAACTTTCTAGTTTAATAACCCAATATTCAAACATTCACTAAGTCAGTTGGAATCATTAATTTAATGTTTTAAACATGGCAAATTACATAAAACAATGCAACCAAATTAAAAAACATGTATCTCTTGAGAAAATATACAGATGGCACTTAAGCAGTTAAAATAAAATATAAGAATACAATCCACACACCTTTCAGAAAAATAGAAATAGTTCTCAATTTAGGTGACACCTATTTTATTAAATACTATATAACAAATATCCCCTACTACATGGAATGAAATAAAATCTACAATATCATAAGATTAAAAAGCCTCAATTCTCCAAAAATCATCTGTCCAACTACTATTACACTCAAGGGCAATGGGCAGGGGAGGAAAAAGATAAGGGTTTAAAGAATCTCTAGATAGCCAAAATAAATGCCGTAAGACCATGACTCATAAAAGGGTCTCTTCTGACACATGTTTCTACATTAGGCACAATTCTCACTAACCTCTAAAATCATAAAGGATAAGAAACTACAAATTTGAAGGGGGAGGAGTAGCAGGAAGCAAGCATACATAGCTGCAGCTCCCCTAGGATGTATTATAGCATCATAATGACAAACCTAGACTGAAAAAGGATAGCTTCACTAAAATCTTGGTACCCAAAACTAAAGACTTCCATTATCTAGAAAAATCACCTATCTCAAAAACCTCACATCATGGTAATACTAGACATGAGATTACTGTATTTGCTTTTTTTCCACTTCAGTAAACATTAATCAAACCATCAGTTTTCTGATGCAATTAAATTACTAGAAAATATCAAAACATGTCACTGTTTTAAAACATTCTATATGCTTCCTAAAAGAAAAATGCGTTGTTACAAAGAGTACACATATTTTTCCTCCCAATTTAGGTATAGCTCTTTCAAAAGACAACACAGTAAAAGAAACAATACTTATTTATGTATTTGCAAATACTTATATTTCAATAGTTTACATTTAAATAGTGCCTGTTAGAACAGATAGATAGATTTTAATCTAAATCTCCTCCCTACAGCTCCTCCCCTTGCCATCCCCAGCCCTGGTAAAAAACCTACCAATATCGGGGCGCCTGGGTGGCTCAGTCGGTTAAGCGGCTGCCTTCGGCTCAGGTCATGATCCCAGGGTCCCTAGGATCGAGCCCCGCATCGGGCTCCCTGCTCGGCGGGGAGCCTGCCTCTCCCTCTCCCTCTGCCTGCCTCTCTGCCTACCTGTTCTATCTCTCTGTCAAATAAATAAATAAAATCTTTAGAAAAAAATAAAAATAAAATAAAAAACCTACCAATATCATAACTGCATGTTTACCTTTCCCCTCATATATTCTCTACAAATGTTATAGAGGGAAAGAAAAAAACAGGAAATAGGAGACTTCTTGTACCCACTGCCAGTAAGTGCCAATAACAAAATCTCAGAAATACTGGTTAACAAGAAATGAACTATTTAATTAAATTATATTTAAACTAAAATCCTAGGGGTGCCTGCATGGCTCAGTCAGTTGAGCATCTGCCTTCGGCTCAGGACATGATCCCGGGGTCCTGGGATTGAGCCCCTGCATGGCTGCCCCACCTCCGCTCAGTGGGGAGTGTGCTTCTCCCTCTGTCCCGGCCCCCACTCATGCTTGTACTCTCTCTCTCTGAAATATCTTTAAAAAATAAACTAAAATCCTATTCATTACTTGTTCTATGAAAAGTAATCTTTAAAACAAACAAACAAAAGACCTTATGATTCTGAGGTCAGCCCGCTATAAAAAGAATAAAGTAGCTTTTCTGACAGGGAATACATTGCCAAAAATAAATCTGTTAGACTTAAGACTGTTTTATGTATAAAAATTGCTACAACAAGGGAAGAAGCAAATATGGTAATAAGTAATTCAAAAAAACCATGAATGACTCACTTGAAACGACTTGCTGTTTCCGAAAATATGTTTCCTTATATGGCAGCCCCTGAAAAGAGGATTCTATACAGTCCACTAAGTTTGGGAAACTCTTCTGTTTGGAAGGTTTACCCACACAACACTATTACTGAGTTTCTGAGAGGTCTTAAATGGTAAACATAACTTATTTGGCTCAGTACTACACAAAGTATTCTGACTTCAAAACCTGTTTTTCTCATAGTTGTTTTAGCATACCTATCAACATCTCAAGACATAAAAAGTTCCACAGGACAATGGTGAACCATAATAAATACAGAAGATATTACAGATGTTCCTACCTAGCATAAGCATCAATCTGAAGAAAATACAAAAACAGGATAGTTATCAGAACAAAAATTGAGGGGGTGAGGGCAATTCTGGGTGTTTTGTGGGGAGGGGTGAAGGTGAGGGAAAGTCTTATCTTAAAAAACAAGGTTTAGCTCATCACACTCTTTCTGAGGCAATCTAAAATCTAACATAAATGAGTGTGCCACAAGAGGGAGCCATTTCCCATCACATCTGGCATATTCTTCCAAATCAAAATATAATAGGTAATGACATTTAGTCAACATTCTATTTCAAAAATATCCATATAATTTCATGTAAAATAAGGATGAAAGTGTTATTATTCATTTTAAAATCAGTACAATAAAGGAAAAAGTCCCCTTTCTCAATTAGAGCATCTGGTACCAGCCACAGTAATATTTTGTACAGATCAGCTCATAAGCTTTCAAGGAAGATGTGACAGGCACAAATGGTCAAAATGAGAATTTAGTGCAAAGGTAGCCAATGGTTCAAAGATGGCATACCAAATTATCTTTATTGCCTAGCACAGTGAATGATTCTAGCAAGAAGTTAATTCTCCATTTTGCAGAGGGGCAAAGCTTAACAGATCAGATCAGATTTAATAACTGTTTAACTATTAGATATTAGCCACTTAGTCATGATTAGTTAACACCTTGACCTAAGTTACCTGATACAAACAACTTAGAACCAGGATAAAATAAAAACAAGATTTAGAGTTTGGGGGAGGGGAAAAGGTGGTGAGAAGACAACTGCTCCGTTTTCATATCCTTACAGCTCTAACTACAGGGTTCAGAGTATATGCTGCTTAAATACTGAGTAACAAGAAAGAAATCTTATTTATTCCTTGACAGACAAAACTCCTATCTCACTTGCCTTTTTGTTTCCCTACTATCAAATGAATATTTGAGCCAAGTGGAGATGGTAGAAAAATTAGAACAAATGTGGGGTTGCAAATAGCCAAAAATTCTTCTCAAGTATGTATGCTCACTTCTGAGCAACATGACTGCACCAGTCCTATCATCATGAAGTGAATGTGGTTTTGGCCTTTTCACTTCCTTTGGCCAATGGACATTAGCAAACACAGCACAAGCAGAGGCTTGTGCACTGGGGATTGCTCTCTTTTTGCTCCAGGGAACCCTACAACAAGCATCATGTGTATGAGCTCAGGCTAACCTGCTACATGATTAGAGAAATGTGATCATCACTCCAGGTGACACTGCACCAACCACCAGACATACAAGCAAGATCTCCTAAGACCAACTGACCTGCCAACCACCAGACATGTAAATGAGGCCACCCAGCCCCAGACAAGATGACAAAGACCCTAAGAACTCTCCAGACAGCCCAAAGAACTGTGAGAAATCACTTTAAGGCATTAGGTTTTCAGGGTTTTGTTTTTTACAGCAA